ATATATATATATATATATATATATATATATATATGTATGTTTGTATGTGTGTGTATGTATATGTGTGCGTGTGTGAAGAATTAATGAATCTTATTTTTAAGCCGACATTTTTATTACTCCAAACGTTGAGTAGGGTAAATAGAGCTTTGCTTACTGTGAGGTCTTTCGGGGCCGAGCGGTAAAGCACACCGGACTAGACGGAGGTATTTCCTACAAAATGGGATGACGCATTTTTCTTACTTTAGAATTCTCGAATGCGCAGGCCGATAAAAGTGATACATACTGTTTAATAAATACAAATGGTGCGTCTATTTCAAATAAGAAGTGTTCACTATAATAATGCTTGAAGTAATAAAAAAGTATCTATCTATGTGTGTGTATATATATATATATATATGTGTGTGTGTGTGTGTGTGTGTGTGTGTGTGTGTGTGTGTGTATGTTTGTATTTAATTTCCATCTAGGCACGTAATGACGAAGATATTTTATCGCTATTCCCGCAGTGCTTCTAGCTGGATGTCCCTGTTATATCAACAAAAATTTTTCCCTGGTTAAAAGCAAAATCCTTTCTACTAGCAGGATGTCTGAGACATTTCCTAATTGTCCAGTAGCGGTTCATTTCAAATATTCTCATAAAAGTGTCCTTTCTTCATTCGGAGAAGCACAGAAAAATACTGTCTTCCGAGTGCCTAAATATTGAGAGTTATTATCAGTAGAACTTCCCGATGGAAAAGAATTAAGCACGCTTGAATGTTTCGTTTCTATGCATCCGTACACGTTTACATCCATTCGGTTTTTGCGGTTGTTTACGTGTGGGTATGTGTGTTTATGACAAAAGAGATATTTCCGTTTCGTGTCCTTTGCATAACATACGCTTTTCACAACCAAATTCATATTCGCCAGCCGGTGTTAGCAAAGTTTTCAGAATAAACTGACATTTATATGTTATGTTTACGATGAGAAATTCTACCTTCAATAAGCATTTTTTTTTATTTTATTAGAAATATTTTTACAACTTCAAACATTATTTTTATTTAATACCTGCATTTGAGTAAAAGCCCGTTCCTTTTTCTTTTTTTTTTTAACCGTATCTCTTTCGTATAATGGCCTGAACATTCGAGAAAATTGAATAAAGAAAATATATCCTTTGGCAGGATTCGAACATATGCTCCACTTTGCAAGAAGAAACCACTATTGATGTGCTTTTACTGCTCGGCTACGAAGATTTTGACATTAAAGCAAGTTTCTGGCCTTTAAAACACACTGACACGTCCACATTTTCCCGAAAAGCATAACTACTCAGTTTTGTATCCAAAATGAAAATAAAGAAATTGCTAAAAAATTAATGAATTTTTATTTTTTTAAAACTATTTAATTTTTTTTTTATATTATCCCCGTTTACTTTAAATACAAAGCATAAATCTTGCCCCTCTTAAGTACAAATTATTTTTTTTTTATTTAAAATAAATTTTAAATACAAAATAACTGTTTTCATAGTTTTAGGTGTGTTTATTTATAGACAATTAAAAACATACAGCAATACCCGATTATGTTTAATACAAAATATAAATCCCGTCTATTTTAAATAAATTAAAAAAATATATATATATATGTTTTATGTCTGTCTATTTTAATAAACACTTTTAAAAAATAACATTAATCCCGGTTTATTTTAAATATGAAATAAAAACATTAATCACATCTATTTTATATATATATATATATATATATATATATATATATATATATATATATATATATATATATATATATAACAAGAAGAAAGTGCATTTATTAAAAAGAAGAGAGAAGCTGCAAACGTTTTTGTTTGTATTGTGGATTTTAAAATATATATATATATATATATATATATATATATATATATATATATATATATATATATGTGTTTGTGTGTGTGTGTGTGTGTTTAAATATAAACCTGTAATCTACATATGATATATAGACTGCACCACCAGATATTTTTCTTAAAAATTATATTATGTAACGGCCTGTCTCTACCCAGCATCAGAAGATTGCTACAGGTCAGGAATAATATATATATATATATATATATATATATGATTGTGTATTTGTGCAGCAATCCTTCTTTTATGCAAGTTTCATTAAAACGAATGACAAGGTTTAATTTCTTTTATATAATTTTTATTTTTCATGTGTTTTTATAATTTTTTCTTTCATTTTCCTTGTTGGGAGCTGAGTTATGTAATTTTATAATTCCATATTTTGGAAGCAGTGTCTCTATTATGCAATTTCATTAAAAGCGTATGAAAAATATATAAAAATCTTAATCACGCCACCTTGTCAGTGGATTTTAAAAAAACTTTCACGAAAGAGGGATTGATTTAAGAACTTTTTCTTTTTTTCCCACTGCATCCGAACTGAAACAAATCTAGAGCTACTCCAACGGGCATCAGCAATACCCCGCGATGTCAATTTGTCTTGCTTGCTAACGAAACTAGATGTGTGATCTTATTTCAAACCGTAGCCGGTGATAATATCGATATTAAATCTGTAAATGCCCGCACGGGTCTGCATATAAAAATATTGCTTTTTACACAAATCATTTTTTATACCATTCGAAAAATTATCTGACTTCAGATCGCTTTTCGAAAAGTGCCGCTCGATTTTACTGACGGCCAAAAATCTAAAACAAATTTTCGATACAAGAGATGCGTATAAAAAAGTGATTGATAAGCAGTAATATGCAATATATTTCTGAAAGAAGATGTAGAATATATTTGCTTTTGTGTTAGTTTATAAGGTTTCAGGATGCATTTAGGAGATAGCAAATAATAAATATTTATACAGTCACATACAAATCTATGTAAATCTTTATATTTTTTAATGCATGCGCAACCGAACAACTCACTGTTACACACACACAGGTGTGTGTGTGTCATTCTGACCACTAAAAATATATTTGACACAAAGATCTATTTGAACTGCATCATCATCATCACCAGCATCAAGTCGAACAATCTCGGCATTCCATGACATGCTACTTCTATCCATTCCTGTTGTTCATTGCATTTGGAAGCTCATCTAGTCTGCATCCTGTGTCTTCAATCACCTGGTCAATGTTCATCTTTTTTGGTCGACTTTGTGTTCTTTTTCCATAGGATGGTGCCCAGAATAGAACGTCTCCAGCTAGTTCTTCTTTACACTATTTAAATTATTCGGACTATTGTCCTCATCTTTGTCACCATGTTTATCACAACTTTTCGGTTGTTGTACGCTCAGGCCTTCTTCTGGTGGTTGGAATGTCGAACTGAACCGTTTATTTCGCTCACTGGGGTAGACTGTTTTTAGTTCCACGTGCCATGTCTAATAACTGACATCCATTAGACATGGCACGTGGAACCAGAAATTAGTCTACCCCAGTGAGCGAAATAAACAGTTCAGTTCGACATTCCAACCACCAGAATGCCTGAGCGTACAACGGTCGAAACATTGTCATAAACGTGGCGACAAAGATGAGGACAATAGTCCGAATAATGTAAATAGTGTACATAATACCTCATCTCAGAAATATAGACAGTTCATCTTTGCTACGTCATCAGTGACCAGCATATCTTAGCAGCAATACACAAATCAATAACCCAATATATATATATATATATATATATATATATGTGTGTGTGTGTGTGTGTGCGTAATCATCGCAACACCCGAAATCCCATGTTTCAAAACTGAAGCTTCAATTCAAATTTAATCATAAAATTTAAACTTAAAATACAAAGTTCCGTTCCATTATCAAGCGATGCTACGAATAACTTTTTAGAAATTGATTTACTTAATTTATATCAAATTTATCTAGGTTTATACCTAGATAAATTTGATATTTTGAGATGTTAGTGTTAAAGAAAATTCCATCTTTTTTATTTTAGGGGTGTTAAGATTTAACTCATTAAGCAAACTCATGTATCTAATGTATTGTAGCTACCAAGTCGGTCAAGACAAGTAGAACTTGGTAGTGACTATGTTCCAACAAATCGTCTGGGTTTCAATAGCAATACATTTGGCATTATTATTTTTTATTTAATTTTTTATACAGTACACTTTAAAACTATATTTCTGCATATATATATATATATATATATATATATATATATATATATATATATATATGTGTGTGTATATATATATATATATATATATATATATATGGTGCGGTAAAAGTAACGGTCTCTTTATTTATTAATTTTATCGAATAAAGATAAACTACTGTACTTTGACAAAATCTATACGCTTTCTCACATTAAAACTGAGTGATTTGTTATGATTAAGAAACTATTTGACATGTTCATAATGCTCCCCTTCATTTTCAGTAAAACGTTAAACCTTATCAGCCACACTTCTACAAACCATTTGACACATTTCTACATTACTTTCAAGAAATATATAAGGAATTGTTTGTTCTATTCAGGAATTGTTTTACAAAGTCTACAGTAATCGCGAGAACTAAAGTTGTTAGAGACTATACGGTGACCTCTTTTATCAACAAACAAATATTTAGCTCCTTCTTGAACACATTTACATTTATTAAATGTAGCCACGAGTAGGCGTCTATTGTGACCGGAAGTGTCACGCTGGGAAAAGACGGAAACAAATAATTCCTGTTTTTCGAAGAAGGTGCAAAAGCATGGATGTCGTCCTTTGACCCAAGCAGAAATCTTACTGGCACAATTTTAAATATGAAGGTTAAGAATATCAATCCAAGAGCCGTCTAGAAGAAAGTCGCAAAGTGAATCCTAATCAGCATAAGGTACCAGAAGAAGGTCTTGGGAATAGAAGCTTCCTGTCTAATATACTACTGAAATGAAATATCAACAGATAGTACAGCGTGATCTGAATTACTCATAGGACAGAAAGTAAGAAAAGGGATAAGGAAGTCTGTTCATCCGATTTATTAGCGAAACGAGTAGGGAAATCCGCTTTTTGTGTAAGAGAGTGAGCAATGAAACAAATGAAAGTCGGCATCACCAACCACAAAAATATTCGCAGATGAGTGGGGAGAGAGAGAGAGAGAGAGAGGGGTGAGAGATAGATAGATAGATAGATAGAGAGAGAGAGAGAATTGAGTGGAGAGAAGGAGAGAAAGATGAGTGGAGAGAGGGAGAGAGATGGAGTGTGAGATGAGTGGAGAGAAGAAGAGAGAGAAAGTGAGAAATGAGTGGGGAGAGGGAGAGGGAGAGAGATGAGTGGAAAGTGGGAGAGAGAGATGAGTGGAGTGAGGGAGAGAGAGGGAGAGATGAGTGGAGAGAGGGAGAGAGATGAGTGGAGAGAGGGAGAGAGATGGAGTGTGAGATGAGTGGAGAGAAGAAGAGAGAGGAAGAGAGAAATGAGTGGGGAGAGAGAGAGGGAGAGAGATGAGTGGAAAGTGGGAGAGAGAGATGAGTGGAGAGAGAGATGAGTGGAGTGAGGGAGAGAGAGGGAGAGAGATGAGTGGATAGAGGGAGAGAGATGGAATGTGAGATGAGTGGAGAGAAGAAGAGAGAGGAAGAGAGAAATGAGTGGAGAGAGAGAAATGAGTGGGGAGGGAGAGATGAGTGGAAAGTGGGGGAGAGAGATGTGTGGAGTGAGGGAGAGAGATGAGTGGAGAGAGGGAGAGAGATGGAGTGTGAGATAAGTGGAGAGAAGGAGAGAGAGGAAGAGAGAAATGAGTGGAGAGAGAGAGGGAGAGAGGGAGAGAGATGAGTGGAAAGATGGAGTGAAGAATGGGAAATAGAGAGGGGGGAGAGATGAGCAGAGAGAGGGAGAGAGATGGCGAGAGATGAGTGGCGAGAGATGAGTGGCGAGAGATGAGGGGAGAGAGAGAGAAAGAGATGAGTAGAGAGAGAGGGAGAGATGAATGAAGAGAGAGAAAGATGAGTGGGGAGAGATGAGTGGAAAAAGATGAGGGGAGATAGAGGGAGAGATGAATGGAGAGAGAGATGAATGGAGAGAGAGAGAGATGAACGGAGAGAGAGAGTGAGTGAAATAAACATTTCTATACTGTCAGGAATTTTGTGCACTATGCTATAATCCCGAGAAGAGGTCTAGCGTTAAAGGGAAAAGAGTTAAATAACAGATTGCAGTAACAAAAGTTGAAACCACCTGTAAACACAATCTTGGGATTCAAGTGACAATTCCCTTGCCATTATCAGATCTTTCTTGATATAAAAGCCAAGGTTATGCATTTTATTATAGAATCTTTACGCCAAAAGTGGCAGATAGCTGGAAATACAGGAGTCATTGGTAGCAATGGAAGAATTTAACTTGGTTTCACAAAGTACAAATATACCTGCATACTTTATGAAGAGAAAAAAAAATCAAGTTAGAGCAGAAATTGGAATGGATAACCACAATATTGGATAAAGAAAGTTTGAAGTGGTAGTTGCGTTTTTGTTTACTAGTTTTCATTGTATTTGTCATGAGGAGAATTGTTCCGAAGAAAAAAGTAGCCCCAAATAATTATTGCTTTCTGTCGTCAATGGAAGACAAACTGGCCAGAACATGACTGAGTGTAAAAAATAATGTAGCCTCAGAGTTGACACCTCCCAATGCGCGACATGGCACTACAAATACCATGATATTATGCGGCAGTTGACCATCGCAGACTCTTTAAGCGCTACCAAAGAGTCCGGGATCCTTACTAACAGTCGGCTGCAGCATCTTTATCTGGTTGCCACAGCCGACTGGTAGTAAGGATCCCGGCACTGGTAGTAAGGATCCCGATACTGGTTGGTAGTAAGGATCCCGGCACTGGTTGGTAGTAAGGATCCCGGCACTGGTAGTAAGGATCCAGATACTGCTTGGTAGTAAGGATCCCGACACTGGTAGTAAGGATCCCGATACTGGTAGTAAGGATCCCGATACTGGTTGGTAGTAAGAATCCCGGCACTGGTAGTAAGGATACCGATACTGGTTGGTAGTAAGGATCCCGGCACTGGTAGTAATGATCTCGGCACTGGTTGGTAGTAAGGATCCCGGCAGTGGTAGTAAGGATCCCGATACTGGTAGTAAGGATACCGATACTGGTTGGTAGTAAGGATCCCGGCACTGGTAGTAAGGATCCCGATACTGGTTGGTAGTAAGGATCCCGGCACTGGTAGTAAGGATCCCGATACTGGTAGTAAGGATCCAGATACTGCTTGGTAGTAATGATCCCGGTACTGGTAGTAAGGATCCCGATACTGGTTGGTAGTAAGGATCCCGGCACTGATAGTAAGGATCCCGATATTGTTTGGTAGTAAGGATTCCTGCACTGGTAGTAACTATCCCGATACTGGTAGTAAGGATCCTGATACTGGTAGTAAGGATCCCGATACTGGTTGGTAGTAAGGATCCCGATACTGGTTGGTAGTAAGGATCCCGGTACTGGTAGTAAGAATCCCGATACTGATTAGTAGTAAGGATCCCAGTACTGGTAGTAAGGATCCCGGCAACATGTTACTCTAATAATGATGAGTCGCAGCCACTGGACAGTCAGATCACCAAAAAGATAGATAAACCATTATGACCATAAAAGAAAGAAAGAAAGAAAGAAAAAAAGAAATAATGGAATCAAAGAGAAAAAAAAAACAAAACTCTACTCCTGATCAGTAATCATGGGAGGAATCAATTCGAGCGATAATCGAACCTCTCTACTCCTATTAAACTGTTCTCAGCACAGGAGGCTGCAAGATTTTATCAAGACAAGAACTTTACGAAGTTTGACAAATAAGGCTATAGACTTCTCCTTCCAGGTCATTGGAAGGAACAATTGCTGAATTAATAACTGTCTGGAGGTTTGCTTAGGAGTTGAAACCAAAGGAATATTAATAGATCAGATCAGGTCAGGATTTAGGGTTGAGATATGTGTACAAACACATATATATATATACATCTTTTTTTGTTAAGCAATTTACTCCAAGTCACTAACACGCACGGGGTTACCTAGGATTGAGAACAAGAGTAAAGAGGAGTATTTGAAGAAAGGCTACAGAGAAGGACGTGAAACAAGATCAAGGTATCAGAAGATGGCGATTGTCTTTACATTTGAATATTTGAAGGTTATAGTTATCAGGGAAGCAAACAAGAGTAAGGGAGTACGGTAGGCGGGAAATGCGAGTAAGAATCTGTTTGAATAGAAGAGACGGTTACATTTAATAGTTTCGACAGTGAATGGGTGGGACCAAGATGTCACCCTAATGCAGTCTGGGAACCAGCGAAAGTAGCTCGTCAGAACAGTTGCCGTGAAAATACTTATAGAACAGACAGAGGGAAGCCACGACATGTCTGTGAGAAAGCGACTGTAGACGAGATACCACTTCGTATTGCATAATTTATACTGGACATCGAGATAGAGACAGTCGAAAACGGTCCAATTATTCTTACCATTTACATACTTTCGGTTTAGATGATCAATATTGGAAGTCAATCATTAAATATGAAAAGGATGTGTATCTACATAATAATATAAGATTATTGTGAAGGATATATATATATATATATATATGTGTGTGTGTGTGTGTGTGTGTGTGTGTGTGTGTGTGTGTGTGTGTACCAATCCTTCATTTACGCATGTTTTATTAAAATTAGTCACTTCAAAAAATTTAAAACAGCTAACCTTATCCTCAAAAATAACAACACACCACCTAATTCAAAATTACAACGAACGAACATTATCTATGAGTTCAAATGCCCCTTAAGGAACTGTGTTCCTGATCAATCTGAATTCATAAATAATTACATTGGTCACATAACTACATTCCTATCCAGACGCCTTACATTAGATCTATTTGACCATAGCTCTATTAGGACCCATTTAAACACACACACACAAACATAGTAGTAAAAAATACAAGCATAATAACCTCATCTATCTGTAAAAAAAGATTACAATAATGGAAGCCTTAATAATAAAAAAAAGAAAAAGCCAACAATTAATAATATTAACTACAAACACAGACACAATGTGCTGTGTTTGGAAAATAAAACATCTCTATAACACTAAAAACATACACGAAACGTAGATACTCAATTAAACTGAATAAATAAAATCATTCTTGATAAATATATCATCGAAAGCGCTCGGAATTATAGAACATGTGAACAATTTCTACACACTCTTTGTCCTAAAAAATAAAACACTTGTTTGAACACAAGAAAAATTAAATAGAAAGCTCAATCGTAATACCTTGTCTGTAGTTTTTAATAAACCATGCATAAATGAAGGATTGCGACATACACACACACACACACACACACACACACATACATATATATATATATATATATATGCATGTTTCATTAAAAACGACAGACAATGTACTACGGTTAAGCTTTTTATTTAATTTTTCCTGTGTTCTAACAACAGCTTTCTTTTCTGGACGAAGGGTGTGTAAGAACTGTCCGAATGTTTTATATTTCCGAGCGCTTTCGGCTATACCATTAACCATTATCAAGGATGATACGATTTTTCAGCTTACTTGAGTGTGTGCATTCTGTGTATGTATCAGTGTGTGGTAGGGATGTTTTGAATTTCCGAATACGGTTAGCACATTATGGCTTTGTTCATAGTTAATATTGTTAAGAGTTGACTTTTTCTTTTTTATTATTAGAGCTTCCATTATTTTTAGTCTTTTTTTTGCAAGTGGATGCAGTTATTATATTTGTGTTTTCTACTAGTATGTTCCTAATGGAGTCGGGTAAATTTGTGTGTGTGTGTTTAAATAGGTTCTAATGGAGCTGTGATCAGATAGGTGTAACGTAAGACGTCTGGATAAGCATGTAGTTGTGTAACCAATGTAATTATTTCTGAGTCTGGTTGGATCAGGAACACAGTTCCTTAAGGAGCATTTGAACTCATAGTTAATGTTCGTTCTTTGTAATTTTGACTTAGCTGGGGTGTTGTTATTTTTGAGGATAAGGTTAGCCGTCTTAATTTTTTTATAATAGATAATTAATTTTTTAATTTGTTTTGAACAATAAAAATATTAAAAATTAAAATCTTCAGACACACAGGGTTGTATATTAATATTCTTTCGTTTTTATTATTATTATTTCATTTAGATTAACTGACTAGTTTCGGCCAACATGGCCATCATCAGGAGAAAATAAAAATCTGTTTGCTGGTAGCAGTGAACTACAGAAATGAATGTCTTGATAGAGTAAATGAACTTTTGTCTGTAGTTTTCATTTATTTTTTAATTTTTAACATGAATTTTGGTCAGACCTTGTGTTGGTCAAACAGTCTCTTTTAATTTGTTATTTAAGGTATATATATATATATATATATATATATATATATATATATATATATAAAAAACTAATTTTTGTTATTGTTCAAAATGCTTACATGATAAATAGTAATAGAGTGGAGGACCGCCAGTGCAAAAACAATTACAGTGTAACCCGGATATAAGAGACCCGGATATAAGAGAAACCCGGATATAAGAGAAACCCGGATATAAGAGAGATTTTCTCTGGTCCCAAATTAGAGCCTGTGTTAATGTATATAAAATAGACCGAACCCGGATATAAGAGAAACCCGGATATAAGAGACTTCTTCTCCGGTCCCGACAACTCTCTTATATCCGGGTTATACTGTACAGTGTAACCCGGATGTAAGAGACCCGGATATAAGAGAAACCCGGAAAAAAGAGAGATTTTCTCTGGTCCCAAATTAGAGCCTGTGTTAATGTATATACAATAGACCAAACCCGGGTATAAGAGAAACCCGGATATAAGAGACTTCTTCTCCGATCCCGACAACTCTCTTATATCCGGGTTATACTGTACAGTGTAACCCGGATATAAGAGAAACCCGGATATAAGAGAGATTTTCTCTGGTCCCATAGAGCCTTTGTTAATGTATATACAATAGACCAAACCCGGGTATAAGAGAAACCCGGATATAAGAGACTTCTTCTCCGGTCCCGACAACTCTCTTATATCCGGGTTATACTGTACAGTGTAACCCGGATATAAGAGACCCGGATATAAGAGAAACCCGGATATAAGAGAGATTTTCTCTGGTCCCAAATTAGAGCCTTTGTTAATGTATATAATAATAGACCAAACCCGGGTATAAGAGAAACCCGGATATAAGAGACTTCTCCGGTCCCGACAACTCTCTTATATCCGGGTTATACTGTACAGTGTAACCCGGATATAAGAGACCCGGATATAAGAGAAACCCGGATATAAGAGAGATTTTCTCTGGTCCCAAATTAGAGCCTTTGTTAATGTATATACAATAGACCAAACCCGGGTATAAGAGAAACCCGGATATAAGAGACTTCTCAGGTCCCGACAACTCTCTTATATCCGGGTTATACTGTACAGTGTAACCCGGATATAAGAGAAACCCGGATATAAGAGAGATTTTCTCTGGTCCCAAATTAGAGCCTTTGTTAATGTATATACAATAGACCAAACCCGGGTATAAGAGAAACCCGGATATAAGAGACTTCTTCTCCGGTCCCGACAACTCTCTTATATCCGGGTTATACTGTACAGTGTAACCCAGATATAAGAGACCCGAATATAAGAAAACCCGGATATAAGAGAGATTTTCTTTGGTCCCAAATTAGAGCCTTTGTTAATGTATATACAATAGACCAAACCCGGGTATAAGAGAAACCCGGATATAAGAGACTTCTTCTCCGGTCCCGACAACTCTCTTATATCCGGGTTATACTGTACAGTGTAACCCAGATATAAGAGACCCGAATATAAGAGAAACCCGGATATAAGAGAGATTTTCTCTGGTCCCAAATTAGAGCCTGTGTTAATGTATATACAATAGACCAAACCCGGATATAAGAGAATTCTTCTCCGGTCCCGACAACTCTCTTATATCCGGGTTACACTGTAGAAGCAAGAACTATACAAAAGAAACTTTATAAAGTTCGTATATACATGCAGTGTTATGGGATGATTTTTTTCTGGTCAACTAAGACCAATTATTGAGCGGTTTGCGATGAAAAGTTTGATTCGTTCGCTGCACATAGTCTTCTACCTGCCATCTCGCAATCAGGAGAGGCAAACGGAGTAAAAGTGGTGAGTTTAGGTGTGGGATTAGTTTAGAGAACATGGATTAGACTAGGTTAGTTACGAAACTGATACTATGATAAGAAAAAACATGGTCAGTTTAGCTTAGCATAATTACATTAAATAACATGTGAACGGAAGAATTACTCTAAAATAATAATTCAGTAATCTATTATATATATATATATATATATATATATATATATATATATATATATATATATATATATATATATTATTTTCTGTTTACATGTTTATAGTTAAGCAAAGGCTACGTTTATAATAAACAGTATTAACGACATTTACCGGCGTGAATATCTGAGAAATTTCATAGAAAATATGTACTACACGGAAACGTCATATAGCCCACCGTGCTATACCATTTAGCTACAGAGAAAGCGTTTGGTTAGCAAACATAAACAAAGTATTTACTTAAATATTTATAACTATAGAAATAATGTAACAGCAAAATATATTAAATAAATATCAGACTTGGTCGATTTCATATTATATGATGTCATTTGTTTACGTTAATATATGCTTCGAGCAGATATGAGCATTCGAGAGAAATCATTAGAAATTTGTTGTTTAAATACAGTAATTTCTCCTCCAGCTCCTATCCCACGAACGCAGGTGTTCCCCAAGGCTCTATCCTAGGCCTAACTCTGTTCCTTATCTTCATTAACAATCTTCCTGATGCCATAGGTTCCAAAG